CTTCAGAAATTATAAGAAATCTTCACGTTTCTGAACCCCTACCCAAATAAATGCGTGAGAAAATGGGCGATTGTTAAGTAAATTCTCGTAAATATCTTTGATTTTCTAAAAAAAAGTCTCAAACTTCTTTTCATAAAAATATAGGGAAGATTAAATTTGTGGGGGGAAAAATAAAACACAGGACTAAATCAATATGTCTCTGACTTTCGATATCATGGGCACAAACAGTGATTAGCTCAAAATCTTTACCAATGTCTTTTGTCGTTTGTTAGTGTCAACAAAGCCTTAACAAACTGAAGCTTTTTCACATAAAAAAATATTTATTAAAAAAAGAGAGATGTTTCGTATACCAATAATTAAAACAAGTCTTATACACGGTAGTATCGTCTTTCCCCTTTCTAGCTACATATAATAATGTTTACCAATGAGAAAAAAAACTGAATGCTGCATTATGAAAAAAGCTTCTCAGTCTAATTACGATTCGCAATATTTGCGTGTGCAAAATTCTCGAATGGGACGTAAATCAACATACAATCTATCAATCATATTGCATAGTACAACAAACTTTCAAATTCCTCTAAATATTCATTTATTTACATTTGCAAATATTTTTCTTAGATGAACCTATAGAAGAGAAAATATGTTCAATTCTGTATGAACTTATTTGGGGGTCAGAGGTCATGGCGTGACCGAATCACACAGCGAGACGATATCTTGTCTACATATTTCTGTCACAGTGACACTGGTTTCGGAACTTCTGAACCGTCAAAGCGATGAAAAAGATAAAATTATTGAAACATATATTTTTTTTTTCGTTCAACAAATGATCGTTACATCTTTCTTCGGTGTGAAGAATGTTTCTAATTAGCCTAAAATCACGCTTACCTTTTTAACCCGAAATTCCTTTGAAGGTATGTAAACTGAAGACGATAGCACCGCTTTTGACTTTATATATAAAGAACTCGTACAATAATAGTAAGATAATTCCCAGTAGCGATCATTGTTTTTTCATTATGAACAGATATTTCCTGAACTGGACTGCTAAACATCAATGTAAGTATTCAAATGTTGGAGCGAGGCGAACTCTCAAGACCAAACAACTTCTAGGTCATTGCGCGTCACAACATAGCAATACGGCGGGCCGTTCGTGTAATAAATGCAGTTCTATTCAGAATATTCGTCTCAAATGTAAATAAAAGTAATAAACAACAATGTTAAAAAGTTCACTGGGAAATGAACTTGGTTGGTACGTGATCAAATCTTCTGAGAAGCCCTTCGGGCTTCACAGGATTTGATCACGTGACCAACCAAGTTCATTTCCCAGAGAACTTTTTAACATTGTTGTTTATTTCTTAATTATTTATAAATGTACATGTATACAAATAGTTTACAATCAAATTATCAAAATTGAATTTGTTGGCACTAAACCTCCATCGACGTCGCTTACTTACACCGACGGGGCGGCGGTGTAAAATATTCTCTCTTCTCTTAAATTCCATGATTCGTCAATACGATTGTGTCTGCAGTAAAACAGAAAATATAAAGTAATTGGACATTAAAGAAAAGAATCTCAAATTATGTAATTTTTCATGTTGAAGTTTGAGGGGGGGGGGGAGGGAAAGTAAAAAAACCAACCCAGTTTTAATTTATTACGACATATTATGCAGCTGAGGAATTTTGTAAAACATTTTGCAAACTGTTTAAAGTCTGGCATTAAGGTTTTATCTAAATTCAATTTTATTTAATTATTCTGTATCTCTATGGTCTTGTCTCTGGCCGATTGCTGCTCCCTGTTGATGTGAACTTTTTGTTGGTCTACATGCCGCTGCACTAAAATATTAGTAGATATTCACTTTGTATTTTCCTATGAATAATGCATGCATATCGAGTCCCATTTATTGTAATCAGCGAACATTTATTATTGTCATGGTCAATCAAAATGTATAATAATCTGAATAAAACAACATAAAATATTGAGAACATTGCAGAAATTGGGACTAAATTTTGATTAGACCTACATTAACATGGTGTTCAACTGAACTAATCTTTTGGAATATGGTGGAAATAATAAGACCCAGTAACATTTATAACATATGTATAAAAGAATGGAGGGATTATGGACTGAAAAGGGCGAACAGGAAGGTAAGTGGCTGCTTTTTTAAGGTCCATTGAACCTCTGAAGAGAGAGATAACTCTTACTGCAAGGATAAGTGACTAATTCCTTTTAAAAGACGGTTTTGTCAAATTTTGCACCATAATATGCATACATTGTTGGCATTCCAATTATAATTTAAATTTCTCTTAGAAAATCATTTTCATTCAAGCAAAATTTTATATGAGTGACAGATGATAAAGCTTAAAAAAAGAAAGTTCTTCATGAAAGCTTAACCATGTTAAAATACTTCTTCATGAAAGCTTGAATATGTAAAAATACTATTTCGATCCAAAATATGATTATAAAATATCTTTTACATAAATAATTTTCAAAATCTTTCCATACTTTACTGAGTCTCAAATACATTTTACCCATAAAAGTAATGTTCGTTTTGTTACCAAAAGTCATAACTTCTATAAAGATACATGTATAGTATTACATATTGCATAAGAAGAAGAAAACACTTGCTGTGGCTTCTTCAGCTCGACATTTAGATATATCAACGACGTATTATTAATTAACAATAGTTCCATTTACGTGTCCACCCGATATATCACAAGGAACTTGAAATAAAAGACTCCACTGATGAGATGACTTCAATTTTTCCATGGTCAATTTCCCCTATTTATAAAGCAATATTCCGCTATCACCTGCCATGGTGTTTACATCATCCAACTTACACAATACTCAAGAGCATGCTACCAGTATGATCAATTTTTAAATGGAGACAGACTACTGACACAAGTTGATGTCACAGGGATTTCAACAACTTCGTTTTTAAGAAATTCTATGGTTGTTATAATGACCTAGTTAGTAAATACATGTATAGATAGGCCTTTGTTTTTATACTGAATTTGACTACGGAATGTTCCGTCTACCTGGTCAATACTTAGGGCTCACGGTGAGAGTGACTGGTCAACAGGGGATGCTTACTACTCCATTGCACCTGATTCCACCTCTGTAATTTCCAGGGGTCCGTGTTTCATGCCCTGTTCACAGAGTTGTACTGTTTATAGATTGCATGTTGTTTTAACGTCCCATTCGAGAATTTTTCACTCATATAGAGAAGTCACCATAGATCGGTGAAGGGCATCAAATTCAGACCTATACTCGGCACTCTGGGCCATTGCTTTATCATCCCAACGCCCACCGTTACACAGGACCTTGGTTTTTAAGATATCCTCCGAAAGACCCGTAACTTTCACTTCTAATGCTGGGCTCTTGGCGAAGGAACAATCACTACCGATGTTTACGTCATAGATTTGACGAGGCACCGAGAACGAGAATCGAACCCGAGCCGTCTTTAGATACATAAATAAATTCACAACTTATATTGTTATAAATTGCTTACCATTATTTCCATGCCAATAATTCACGTTAAAAACATTATTAATGTACGTTTTTAAACATCAGGTTCAGTACCAACTGTCGTTATAGAAAATTCCTTCAAAACGTAGACGTACATGTACAAGCTTATCTTTTAAAAAGATTGGTGAGCTAGCGCTGTAGCATAATAAAATACAGAAGAAGATATCCGAACCATTTGTTAAATTTGCTGAATCGATTAATTATAAGGAAGGCAGATTGGTGCACTGGGGGTTGAGTGTGTGTGTGTGTGGGGGGGGGGGGGGGGGGTGTCACAGTTCAGAATGGTGAATCTAAGAGTGTGCTTCACGTCGGCAATGCCATAACTCCTAACTGTGCTTTAAGCATTCTGTATTTTACTGTAATTTCAATTTCGAGGTGAAAAATAAAAGCCGAGCTTGCCGGAAAGATCCATGAAGGTAGATTAGAAAAGCTATGTATTCATTACAACTTTAGAAATAACAGTCTTGGTTTTATAAGACCCGAGTTACTGTAACTTTTTGTTCATTTACGTGCAGGTTAGACAACAAAACACGAAACTTCAGATCATATGTATTTTCAGATGATAAACACTAAATTGCCATGTCTTTCCGACATACTCTGAAAAAGATTTTTGTTGTTGTTGTTTTTTCCGAGCTTGCCGGAATTATCCACTGAGGTGGTAAAACTGTAAGGAAAGCTAGATGTCTAGAATCTTGGCATTAATTGTATATGGCCAAATTTTTTCTTGTACTTTTATGTGTAGGTTAGACAATAAATAAAAAAAAATTCAGAATCCGGATCTAGACTGGTATTGACTGTCTCTAACCTACGAAATGTATATCGCGCATATCAGAAAGGAAAGGCCAGTGTAAATTCGGATCATTTCTATTTTTGTATGACAAAACGAAATTGTTTTCGTACAGTCCATCTACAGTAGTTTTCCCAGAATCCCCGACCGTGAAGTCGAGCATGCGTATTTCAGAAATATAGACTAACGTAGTTGCTAGCGCTCGAGAGCGCTAGCAATAAAACATAGACGTACATGTATAAAACTAAGTTCGCAGACTTGCGAAAACGATTTGCACATATTGGTTTTTAAATAAGTAATCATAAATTATATCTTCTGTATAACTGAAACCAAGTTTTTATTGAATAATTAATTTGCTACGTTTTATGAAATGATTAAACTATTGCTTGTCAGTTTCGTTAAAAATGGCCAATAACAGATCCACCAACCGTAACTACTACCGTACTCTCTTTTTTGCTATTTCATGACTGTTTAACGAAAATGAGACTAGACTTTTAATTAAATTAAGGATGATTAGTATGCGCGAATGAAATCTGAATGTAGTTTATGGACATCATCTCGTACCTTGTGTAAGTATAAACTCTGGTGCAGGCGTTTTGGAGTTTATTTGCAAAATTGATTAATTTATAAGTATAGATGGATGACATATTGAAATGTGACTGAATTTTTAATGATTTTGACGTTATAAAGATGGAGGCGATGCAGTTGTTGCTATCTTTGGTTTCTGCCATCCTCGTGAGAGTACATTCAGAGTCCATTCCCGTTGATCAGTATAAACAGCAACTTCTAGATGTGCACAATGGTTACCGGGCCCAGCAAGGTGCAGCTGATATGCAAGCTTTAGTGAGTACAAATAGAAACGTGATTGAGTCTTCCAAGAAGAAAATCATAAGGATGACTCTAAATAACATATTTTTTTAAATAGGTGTGGGATGACACACTCAGTAAGGAAGCTGGAAATTGGATAAAGAGATGCAATTTCAAACACGAAATGAAAGGAAGGGGAGAAAATTTGGCTTTTGACTCCAATCCTAGAAAGAATGAGGAATTAATAAATAGTTCAATGAAGGCCTGGTATGATGAAATCAAGGACTATAACTATAACCGGAAGGCCTGTGGGAGAAGTTGTCATTATACGCAGGTCAGAATGGAATACCTTCGATATTTTGATGAAATTTGTCAGTAATAAAATTTTGCACTTCGTTGGAAGGGATGGTAGGAACCGGGGAGGGAGAGAACATACCAATGGGTTTAATTATGTCTATGTTGAAAAGATCAGGAAACAGATGATTTTTGTAATATAGTTAGCGAAGATGCAAGTCCTCACTCTACCCTTTATTAAATATGGTGTTTGCAAAAAGGGGGATGGGCATATTGTTTATGGTATCATAATACTTTACAAAGTCTGTAATACTTTATATTGTAGGTAGTCTGGGCTAAAACTAGAAAAGTTGGATGTGCCATGGAGAAATGTAAATACCTTCAAGCATTTGGAAGTTCAGTGAAGAACGCTTGGTATCTGGCTTGTTACTACGATCCGAAGTAAGTCAAACTTCCGTATTGTAAAGATTCTGGGATAAAAGTCATGTCCTGTAACTTTTGAATTTAAACTTAAATTTTGAATTTACTGGCTAGGCATTTGTACAAAAGTAAAAACAAATTTTCTTTTATATTTTAATTAACATCAATAAATCTCCGCAATTTTCAACAATATCACGAGTATTGAAATTATTTGACTACAAGAAATAGCACGCACACAAAAAGAGACAAAAATGATTATTTCTTCATAATATAAAACATTTCTGTTCCTTGAATGAAACCCAGCGAGAAATGTACAGGCAAGATAGAACCACATTGGTTTTTTTTGTTTTTTTTTGTTTTTTTTTTTTTTTTGCAAAACTTTTGATTTTCAATAGATATATTCAAATATTCTAAAGTAAATTTTTAATCGAGATAATATTTGTATTAAGGGGAAATGATATATCGGAATATCCATTTGTGAAAGGCGCAGCTTGCTCTCAGTGTCTCCAAAAACAGACCTGTGAAAATAAACTTTGTACCGGTAAGAGTTTCACTTCACAAGTAAAGCATTTCAAACTAAAAAGACTGATTTCGATAAAATGTACATTTGAAATTTTTGCGCTTTGTTTGAAAAGGCGAAGGCGTTGAAGTTTGCGAAGACAACGACAAAGATTGTGAGTTCTGGGCGACTTCCGGTGAATGTAAGAGGAACCCAAAATTCATGAACAAGAAGTGCAGAAAAGCTTGTGGTATCTGTAAAGGGACTAAAAAGTAAGTGGAGGAAGTACAGGACATTCCAATAGTTATTTAACCATTGAAGACTTCCATAAGTTCCTGCGCTTATTACTTTTAACACTTCATTGTTCGGATTAATCATGACATTCTATGATTGTAGGTAAAAATGCGATTTCTTGAAATATGGACATAGAGAAAAACAGCGGAATGTCAATCATAAAATGATTACGTGTTTTTTACTTCTCTTACCATGTCATGCTTGAATTCTTTGAAAGCAAATAAATAATTGCAATATGATATAATGAGTTTTTTTTTCTGTCGATATGGCTTCATATCTTAAGGAAGTAGTGTTAATCAGATGTGGATACTTTAAAATTCCAAGGAAAATTTGAAATCACAAAATTTTAGCAAAGTCAAAACATCAACAAGTTGTTCGACTTTACAACACTTTATACAAGTCCAGGATTTTTGACATCACAGACAACTGCTTTTTTCAATAAAAATTGAACTCGTAAATATACTTACCTTGCAAAATTATTTTGTTAGAAACTTTCTGATTGCACAGACAAGTACTCCGAAGTTGATAATTAAAAGATGTTTGAATTTTTAATTGAAAAAATCTATGTAGCTTTTGGAGATCAAGTCTTCCAACAATTTGTTAGAATTCCCATGGGTACTAATTGCATCCATTATAAGCAGACCTATTTTTTTTTTTATTTATACGAAGCAGAATTTATTCAAAATCTTATACCTGAGAAGAAGAAAACACTTGCTGTGGGCTTAACTCGACATTTAGATTTACTGACGACTTATTATCAATTAACAATTGTTACTTCCACTCATATGTCGACTCGATATATCACAGTGAACTTCAATGAGTCTGACTCATCTGCATCATAGTTAGATATTTACTAAGTTAATGGTAATCTAACACCAAAACTTTATGATAAACGTGATGAATTCAACTTTAATACTACTGTCAACTTCCCTTATTTATGAAGTAATATACCCTTCTCACCTGCATATGGAATTTATGCCTCCCAGTTGATTCGACACGTAAGGGCATTCTCTATTTACAAAACGAGGTAAGCTATTGACAAACAAGTTGATGGAACGAGGATATCAACAGTCTCGTTTTAAAGTCTACATTTCGTAAGTTTTTTGATCGATACAATGATTTTGTCAGGAAGTACATTCTATCATTAAATCATTTATCATTTAGTCGAATGCTGAGTGATGTTTTTCATACTAAATGTTAGACCATTTTTTACACACTGCTCGATCATGACAAGGAACCCACGACGGGTGTGACCCGTGGACAGGTGATGCTCACTCCTCCATGACACCTGATCCAACTTCTGATGATATTAGAGTGTTTGCTCTGCTCCCAATTTGTATTATTTTAATGGACTTTTGAGCTTGATTACCGCGATATTTCATCTATATTGATTTTTTTCAGACTTTAATTTCAGTGCAATGCACAACACTGAAGTCAAATTTGAAAGTACTGAAATGAAAAAAAAATGTGCCAATATTAGTGATTGATCTAAAAAAAAATCTACAAACCAGTCACGCCCGCCGTTGACCCTGTGCATTGATTAGGTAGACGGAACTTTCCGTAGTCAAATTTAGTATAAAACAAAGGCCTAATAATTGGTATGAAACATATATCAGCCAAAATAACCTAATGATGGATTGTATGTGCTGACATTTGATTGGAAGTAACCATTCTTAAATGATAAAATGTCATCTATATACATGTATCTGTCTAGTTGAAGGCCACAGCAAGTGATTTTATTCTCATGTAGGGGATTTTAAACAAATTCTGCATTCAAAGAATATAAAAATAGGTCGGCTAATAAAAGAGCACAATTAGTGCCCATCGAAATTCCAACAGTTTTTTGGAAGAATTGGTCTTCGAAGGTGACATACTAGTAATATTGTCAACGGGGAACCCCAGCATCCTTTTAAAATCAACTTAACAGTAGTGTGTAAAATCGCATGATTTCTTTCTTTTCAAATAATCCCCAGTGATTTAAAGTAATGAATATATTTTTTTCAAGAAAAATTAATTTGAGTACAATAGAGCCTCGTTAATTTAGACGCTGATAATCCAGGAGAACTGATAACATTTAGTGTTAGTTTATCACTACTAAATTGAACTTTCATTTGATAAATAAAAACATTATGAAAAAGGATAGCAAATCTCTACAAGCTTAGATTTCAATGCATTAATACCGTAAAGAAAACATTTTTTAAACACATGATTCAAACAACACAATTTTCATTTATTTTCCTCTCAAAACATATAATAGCCTACAGGTATCAGATATAAATATTTTAGACGACAACATAACGAATTCCTTTATTTATTCCTTTGTTTTTAATTTGTTGAAAAGATTTATGCACAATATCAATGGATGGGAATCTAAAATATCATATACTAATCTGCTTTCTTTAACACATTACCTTGACTTAAATATAAAGAGACATGCAAATGAGATTTTATTTGAAAGTATGTTAACTACCTCTATATCTCATCAATTTCATATGACCCCGAAATATTTTTCAAGATATGAATAGATTGTTAAAGAAAAAAGATCTTAAAATTAAGTATATAAAAATTCTAGAGCCTCTATACCGTTTTTTCTCTCTTCTCAATAAAAGCTTACATAATAAAGAACAAAGAGATGCATTTTCTAAACCATTACAAATTGCTCCTGTTTTCCGAAAATGTTTTAAAGATTTTTTCATAATATTGATGCTTTGGAACATATTCACGCAAAAATTTTATTTTATTTTATTTTATTTTATTTTATTTTATTTTTTATTTTTTTTTTTTTTATTTTTTTTTTTTAGCAGATGAAATGAAAAGTTGTGTACAAAAGAATTTTTACAGTTTGTAACAGAAGGTTTGCAAACTAACATTAAACATCGTCATTTCTAATTTTTTTTTTATTTTGGAGTAATAAAAGAGTTCTCATAAGATACTATGACACAGCATACACAGATTAAGAGAGCCTTGACAGCATTTGTTTTTTCTTTTTTTTTTTCTTTTTTTTTCATTGAAAACAAATAAATCTGGACAATTAATTGTGCCTCCTGAACCACTATAAAGTGTGGCCAATTTTAAGATTTTTTCTTTTTTATTTTGTTTGAATCATGCGTTCAAAACATTTTCTTTACGGTATAAATGCATTGAAATCTAAGCATGTTGAGATTCGCTATCCTTTTTCATAACCTTTTTTTATCAAATGAAAAGTTTTATGGAACATAGAATTTAAAAGTGATAAACTAACAGTAATTCCCAATTCTCATGCAGTGTTTTCTTCTGATTTTTAGGGTGAATAGTTTTTTCCAGCGAAATATGAAGCTACCGTGTATTTAAAGCATTAAAAATTTCTAGAGCCTTAAAAGTTTTTCGTCTCAATCAAAACATTTAACACAGGGCAATGATATGATATAAACCACGACAAATTGCTGTGGGGTTTCTTAATTTTCTTCATTGTTTCAGATGTATTGAAAAGATTTTTAACACATTTTTTCATCACAGGAGGTAACATGCAAAAGCGTATTTACTGAATGATGTGTGTAAAAGTCATCAATTCAATCAATATATAATTTCCTCCTTATTTTAACGTAATGGAAAGATTTTTGAAAAAAAAATGAAAGTAAAACACTCAAAAATTTCTAGAGCTTTTTGGGGCATTTGCATTTTTTCTTCTCATTTAAAACGTACAATACAATGCAAAGAGAAGAATATTCTACACCACAAGAAAGTGCTGTCAATTTTCAATACTTTCTCATTTGTTTCAATGAGGGTGATCAAATTTAAAATACAATTCCAAAAATTAAGCATGACAAACATGGACATTTGGAGTCACCAGAGGTGGGGTTTTACTTAAAAGTGGAAGTGTAAGCATCCCTTGTCAATAGGTTCCACCACCGATCCCTTTGTCTGTATTAAGTTCTTAAACGAAGTAATCCGTAGATAGACAAATTAGATTTTTTGTATAATGACCCAACAATTTGCATGAAAACGTCTTTTAACTTTCAGCCCAACGTTTAAAAATTAATCGTTCTCAGAACATGCTTTTGCATATATAATAAATCGGGAGAGGAACTCTAGCATCCTTTCAATATCAACTTTAGAGTACTTGTCTGTAAAATCATATGATTTATTTCTTTTCAAATGATCCCCAGTTTCCAAGTACTTCGTTGGAAATTTAAACATGTATAAATTTCAAAATCAATTTTACTTTCTCGTTAATTTCCTCTTTGACTTTAAGTAATCCAGACACTTATAATCTGGACGCTTCATCTTCCGGACAAAGTTTGTTAGTAACAATTTACATTTATTCTTCTCTCAAAACATATAATAGCCTAAGGTATCAGATATAAGTATTACCGTGATATACCGAATGAAGGTAAATATGAATGAAAATGAATATTGTTAATTGATAAATCGTCACCGATATATTTAAATATCGAATTGAAAAAGGCCACAACAAGAGACTTCTTCTTTTCATGCTGAATTTTTTTTTTTTAGTAAATTCTTTATAAGAATACAAAAACAGATCGACTGAAGAAGTGCCACAGTAAACACTCATCGAATTCCAAAAGGTTAAAATGATTTTCTGGACTACTTTTCACAAGATACATATATTTCCAAAAGCCATTTTTGTGGAAGAAGCAGTTACATGAAGATTACGAACAGTAATCAAACTAAAAATTCAATGCAACACTACAATTTTGAGAGCAACGCAAACATCGGAGGGTGGATCACGTGTCATGAAGGATTAAGCATCCGCTGTCCTTCGCTTACACCGGCAGTGAGCCCTTTGTTTTGATCAGGTGGAAGGAATTCCTCGGATCGCTAAGTAAATTAGTAAGACAACGATGGGCTATTGATTTATTTGAAAAACGTCAGTCAACATTCGATCCAACAACAGGTTGTATTTGCATACTTGGTCATTGTAACGATCGACCATAGAATGTGCGAAATGTTGGCTTTAAACAAGATCATTAATAATCCCAAAACATCAGCTAATTTACGTGTTTTCTAAAGTAATTGATCTTACTCAAAACATGCTCTTGCGTATTGAAACTATGAAACACCATATACAGGTGTTAATGGTACATTGCTACATGAAAAAGGAAGTTGATGATTGGAAAGTCATCCGGTTTAGAACTATCTAAAGATATTGATGTGTTAAATTCTGTGTTAGACTCTGTGCCTGGTAATTTCTTTATTTATTTATTTATTTAATTTTTTATTTATTTATTCATTTATTTATTTTCA